GGTCAAACACAAGCTGGATGAGACGAGGAATAATGCCGTGCTGTCGGGGAGGCGTGTTAAATTTGGGCCTAGGATTCCCGCTGCCGTGCCGCAGGTAATCAATGCCCTCCACAGTGTACGTTTTCCCGCTCCCTGTCTGCCCGTAGGCGAACACAGTGGCGTGAAAGCCATTAAGAACGTGGTCAATCATCGGAACCACCTCCTGCATGACATTCTCTTGCGTGGACTCCGGCGGAAGGACCCGGTCAAAGGTAAAACAGCGCGTGTCCTCCTGGCCTTTGCCGCTCACAAACACCCGACCCTCGTCTTTTGCTCCAAACGAAACACGGCAACATTTGTCATTCTTTTCCTCCGGTAGCTGTGGACGGCAGCGCACCACCACCTTGAAGGCGCTACGCATTGCCTCTATCCTTGGCATAAACAACGGAGAGGAGGAGGGGAGGGGTGGGGGTGGGGTGGGGGGGGGGGATGGTCTTCCTTTATTTACGGTGCGGACGTCTCTGTGCAACCTATCAGGCAGAGCGAGGTGATATCATTAACCACAAACGGCAAACAAGGGCCTCACAGGAGAACACACACATATCAACAGTGACAAGCAATTACATGCCCGTCACCATCTAAACAACGCACCAATACACCACAACCTATCACAGTAAACAGGCAGGATAACGCTTTCCGTGGCAACGCAAGCAGCATCAAAGACACATAGGCGGAATTAAACCTGCGCCTGCCAGGCCCACCTCACCGCGACGCGTGCACACTGTTCCATGCACGGGGTCATTCCCGGAGTAAAGCTGGAGAGCCCATATAAATGCATTCGTACTATGTCAACGCCCACTACCGAATGACTCACTGCCATCAGAACACTGTTTGTTCATACCCAATACTGCTACCCTTCTACTACTCGTGCTGCCTTAACTAAATGTTTCAAAAACAAGGCAAACAATAAGACAAAATAAAATAACAAAAACGTATTGTAGCGTAGCGCTTGTATATACATTTGCAAGGAGGTCATAAAACAAAAATAATAATAATAATAATACTAATAATAATAATAATAATAAATAATGAACGACGCTAGCAGGGAAGATCCGAGGAATTAAAAACAGAAGAAAAAAAAGACATCTGAAGGACCGAAAGAACATTCCCTCTCTTGTGGAGTAAGATTCAATTACACAAAAACCGTGGCCTGCCGCACTCATGCACGAAGAACAAAAGCAGTAGCAATTTGGAAAACGCCTGGCAATGAACATAATTGATACTTCTGCCATTGACAAAAGCAGATAAACTTTGCACAAGTATTTATACACAAATAATTCGCATTCTTTGACCATCAGAGGGCACTTCCTACTTTTCCTTCACACACAGAAAGCAAAAAAAAACAAACATCAAACAATGTTGGATCACTTATGGGTGTAAATACCTATGTACACATCAAAATCATGAAAATGTGAAAGCAAAAGAAAAAACTAAAAACTAAAAAAAACTAAAAGCTAAAAAAGCAGCTTGGTAGGACGAGAATACAAACCTTGTAATTGAATTCGCACAATAAATAGGTTAACAACCTTTCCACATAAAACGTTGGTCACTACTAGCCAGACCTCTGTAGTATGCCAATTCCTTCTTCATACTGGCCACCTCCGCACGAAGCTGACGGATGAGCGCGGACTTTGGATTCTCGTTCACGTGTGGGATATTCGTGATGTTGCGTGCCCGGCCAGCGTACATAAGAGTCAACAAGGTCTCATCAACATCCCGGTCTGAGGGACTAATGCATGCGATCATGGTGGTCAGAGAGTTGCCACCCAGGGCGTGTTTCAGTAGCATAGTCAGCTTACTCTCTCGGTAGGGGATGTGCGACCTATCAGCTGATTCACCATTCTTTACCTTCCTCTTGGCACTCGTGGCGAGGGCCGTGATGACTCTTGCAAGAGCTAGAAGCGACGTGTTGATATCAATCGACTCCCTTACCAGCAATGGCGATGGATTCCCGGAAAGCATTGCAAGCTTCTCCGACCCTGCTAAATCCACAACGGAAAATTCGGCCTTGATGGGGGTCTCTGGCGAGTCGGCGTCCAAGCGGGTGACGTATATGGTAAACACGCAGTGTGAACGTGATGACTGCTGATTGATGGCGTGGCTCCCCATAACTTTCTCCTTTGT